GGGGCGGACCCGGGGGGGGGGGAGCTGCTGGGACCTCCCTCGGGCTCTGCTCCATCACTACAGCAGGGCTAAGCTGAACCAGTTTGGTGGAGAGCCCCATCTAGACCATTATTTAAATGAATTTGCCAGAAGTCCTGGTTCAGAGAAGCAGGGGAGGCCTGAATCACCTCTTTCCAGTTTCTCAGTTCATAGGGTTTGCCTGAGGATGCAGCCAGCCTATCCGGTTAGTTAAAGGATTATATCATATCTGTTAGATAGATATGGTGCACTCACTTGTCCTTCTGGCCCCTCTCTGTGCTTATCTTGGGAGAATCTGGGAGTCTTTCAGTACTTGGGGCTGTGGATCCAGGAACTGGGAATGAGGTCTGGAGAGCAGGAGGCCACAGCAGCCCAGATATGGGCCCACCTTTCCCCAGCTGCAGCTCACACTTCCTACTGGGAACATTTGATTCTACTTTTATTTTATTTTTTGTACGTGTGTGAGAGGGCTGGGGCAGATTGATTAAAGTATGATTTGTTTTAGGATAAAAATAATAACTCTGCTGTGAGGAAGGTGGACTCTAGGGGAGAACACAACAGAAAAACGCCCTTGTATCTGTTTTCAAAAACAATAGCTCACATTTTCCAATCTTCTCTCACCAGCGTTTTATAAGATAGTTTTAATCATGTTAGATGTACCAAGTTATATATCCCACCTTTTCATTGAATGCTGTAACAACATTACTTTTACAGAGTCCTTAATTTTTGTATAATGTTTGTATAACTTTCTATCAAGAAGGGTGGTATGAGTAGCCATTCTCTTATGACTGGGCATACCGCATTGGTTGTCGCCTTGGCTGATGCATTTACTTACACATAGGTTAATTTCCATATTATATTTCCTTATGAGAGATTGTTTAGGTCTCATTTTCAGTTGAAGGCCAACAACCGCCTCCCCAGGCATGAACATCTGCTACGCAAGCTCTCACATCCCCACCTCCAGGGTTCTAGTTGTAGCTACCGCTCTGGGCCTTTACCTCTGCTGCACCATTCACTCCTCAGACCTTCCGATCTTTAATCCCCTATACACCCTTCAGAGACCGAGTTATTCTACGCAGAGCACTGCCATAGGTGATCCCATACCTGCTACAACTCCCCCACAGGCTCCCAAACATAAAGTGTGAGCTCCATGCTGACTTTGCCCAGCTGTCATTCGCATTTTACAGACATGAGCATTTAGGCTGAATGAGGTGAAGTAACTCCAGGACCAGTAAGGGAGAGAGCAAGGGTTGATTCCAACCCTGTCCAGGTCCAGAACTTGCTCTGCTAATTATTGGGCTATGTAGTAGCTATTAAATTAATGATGCTGTATGTCCTGGGCTAGAATGGAAAAGCTTCTCCCCTAAAATGGGGGACATCTGCAATATTCTCAATAATAAAGACAAGTAAATAAAAATTAGAAAAGAAAAACTCCCCTTGTTTGCAAAGGAGGGGCTAGAGAAAGGTCATTTTCAAATATCTGGCCAGATGTCTGCCCAGATTAATGTTGTATCCTTCACAAGGTGCCTGTTCTCCCTGGGGGGTGATTTAAATAAGCACAGCCCTGAGTGAGCCCACAGGGGCTCACCTTTCCTTTGGCACCTCTGGGCTTGAGGAAACATAAATAGCAAACAATCCTGGCACCAGTGTCCCTCTTGTCACCCACAATGAAGGTGAGGATATGGAACCGCACCAAAGAAAATGCCCAGAAGTTTGCGGACACAGTGCAAGGAGAGGTGCGGGTCTGTTCATCGGTCCAGGAGGCTGTGACAGGAGCAGATGTGATCATCACGGTCACCATGGCAACAGAACCCATTTTGTTCGGTGAATGGGTGAAGCCAGGGGCTCACATCAATGGTAAGCAGAGTGGCTTCATGGGTAGCTGGTGAGCAGACTCGTTGGTCCCTAGGCTGGACCAAGGAGCTGCATCTGCAGAGCTCTGTTACCTCTGCCAGATGCTGGAGCTTCTTAAGGGCCTCAGAAACATGTGAGCCCTGGAAAACAGTATTCATTCCAACACATGGAGCAAAAATCGCAAACCTGAACCCAATACAATTTCTATATAGTATAACATTTTGTGGTAAACCGTCTGTCACAGCTCAGTTTTAAAATGTAATGAAGTTTAAATAACAAAGCCAAATGACTCATTTATTCTTAACAATTACAACTACAAAAAATTTAATTACAGCCCCAAAGAAATTTAATGTGAAATGTGAATGCTTTATAATATGTGATTGGATGGGCACAACTCTACACATAAGAGTTCTTGGGGCCTCTGAAGATCCTCAGATGGCCCTGGGGTAACAGCAAGAGCTATTGCAGGTGCTGTTTTAAATTCTTTATGTGTATTTTATGTCATTTAATCCTTACAACAACCTCAAAAGAGATTAGGAGCTACTATGATCACGACCCCCATTTTACAGCTGCATAAACTGAGGCACAGAGAAAGTAAGCCACTTGCTAACTTGTGTAAAGTCAGAGGCCCTTGGTGGCAGAGCTGGGATTTGAACTGAGGCACTGTGCCCTCAGAGCCCAAGCTCTTAAGTACTACCTGGTATTATCTTTCAATACGAAGACTGGATCCTGGTGCATGAGCAGGCAAAGACTAGAGGATTTAAACATGCTGTCGCTGCCCCATGTTTCAGTGACAAGCACGTGGTGTGAACTCAGAACCTGAGATCTCTGTACACACTGGCAGGTGAGCCCACAGGGCCGAGGGTCGTGCCACTGCGTCATTTGCAGGTGCTTATGAACGGCCCTGTGCCAGGCACTGGGTAGCTGCCGGGGCTGGCACAGTGGCCGGCATGCAAGGTCGCTGCTTTCCTGGCCCTCACATCCTCTGAGGGGAGATAGACAGCAAAGAAGTAAACAAATAGATGGACTGGTAGTCCTGTGAAGGAAACAAAGCACACGGAAGGTCTGAGCCTGCAGGACTGGTGTTAGGATGTGGGTCCGTGGGGTCGGTAGGAGGTGGTAGGTAGGAGATGGATCGAGTCTGGCTTTATGGACAGTAAGGCCCTTTCTGAAAGGATCTGGGAAATCAAAAGAATCCAGCCCTTGGTGAAATGGGCAAGAGCTGAATCTTCAGCAAGGCTGACTTGATTTTTTTTTTCAGCTTAAAACAGCACATATTTACTATCTCACAGTTCCTGTGGTTCAGGAGACTCCAGGAGTCTGTGGGTCTTCTTCTTACAAAGGATGAAACCAAGGTGCTGTCCAGGCTGCAGTCTCATTGTGGCAGGTTCCTTACATTGCAGGATGAAGGTGCCCGTCTCCTTGGGGCCCCTCTTTGCTCCTAGAGGCAAACCCCACATTCCTTACCACATGGATACTCTGTCTTCAAGGCTGGTATTGGTAGAACCGCACTCACATCCGATCCTTCTCACACTTGGACTCTCTCCCCAGGGAAGGCCAACCTGATTTTGAGTCAAGACGTCTCTTATATTCCCCTGGCCTAAGATCAAATTGGTTCATGTAAGTTCACAGAGGCAGCATTACAGGTGCAGTTGACAAGGAAACACCAACAATGGATTTTACTTGCTTTACAGCTTGGCTGAGAGGCAGGCTCAGTTCCAGGCGCCCCTCCACTCCCTCCCCCTGCTCACACCCCAGTGGCCAGTGTCTGACCCTCGCCCGCTCTAGCCCCTCTGAAGCAAGGCCAGAGCCCAGGCTGAATCAGGCCCCCCTCTGCTGCCTGGCCCCCCTCCGTCTGCCTGAGTGGGCGCACACAACCCTTTGAGACCTTGCCCCGCTCAGAAGAATGGGGGGAACAGAGCAAGGAGGAGAGGAGGCCTGAGAGGCCGGGAGGTTTCCCACCATCTGGTGATTTATTTACGAGCTTCGTTAGTGCTTTTGTTCTGTAGATCTCACACAAAGAGTCCTCAAGACTGACATTCTTACACAGCTCTCTTTGAAAATCAGACTGAGGGAGCGTGTGAGAGTGAGGAGAGGGGACCAGCAGAGAAGGCTGGAGGGCGGCAATGCTGCCTCTTGGTTAAGGCTTCACGGCGCTCTCCAAAGGCTGGCTGGCCTGGGCTGGGTCCAGCCAGCAGATGTCTTTTGTTTGGACCATTGACTGTTCTAAAAATCAAGAAATAACACATGCAATTAGATTTCCAGCTTCTGTTGAAAAGAAATTGGAATAGCTAGAGGTGGACCTGCATTCTCACATGCCTCCCATTAGCTGGGGCTCAATAACAGCCGTCCCCTTGAGAAGGGCCTGCTTTCTTCTGTATATTTGGGTCACACCATTTCCAGTCCAGTCCCTCTGACCAGCTGCTCACATTTACTACCTGCCAGCCCTGCAGGCACATGGTTACGGCCTCTGCATTGTCCTCTGTGCCAGCACCAGGAGTCGGCGTCAGGGTCTGGGCTCTGCGGAGGAGCTGAGAGCTCGGCACCAGGATGGAGCTGCTTACTTTTTATTGGGGTTTCTCCAAGACTCTGACCCTGGGCTCACTGTCACGGTTAAGAGAGAAGTGGTTGGAGGCGAGGAAGAGGAATGATGATGAGGAGACAGACAGACAGACGAGTGTGGGGTGTGAAGGAGCTGCAAGTGATGCTTCTGTTTCAGGGTTTGGGTAAGGAAGTCACTGGCCCCATAAATGGAAGAGGCCTGAAAGGAAGGCCACTGTCTCAGAGCCTCAGGTATACATGCATTAGACACATTACCTTGACAAGCGCCTTAATTTCTTTGAGCCTCAGTTAGTGCATCTTTTAAATGGGAATCAGACATGAAGTGAACTTGTAGAGATTATAAATAATATGTGTGAGACATCTCCCAGATAGTAGGCACCCAATAAATGAATGCTAAGTTGACTCGCAATCTTTTAGGAATGAAACGGGATCTGAAATGGAAAGGCCAGCAATGGCAGGGGCTGTTCTTATGAATGAGTACTGAGCTTTGCTTGACCGGAGGGGGTTGGCCCGGGGAGATGAGGCATTCCCAGTGTGAGTGTGCCCGCTGTCTTCCGTTCTCGGGCGTGGTTAGTATCCCTCGTCCTCTCTGGGCTCAGGGCCTGTTGTGCTGTTTCTCAGCCGTGGGAGCCAGCAGACCCGACTGGAGAGAGCTGGACGACAAGCTCATGGAGCAGGCCGTGCTGTACGTGGATTCCCGGGAGGCCGCCCTCAAAGAGTCTGGAGATGTCCTCCTGTCAGGGGTGAGCCTCTGCTCCTGGTGGCTGCTTCCCAGGTGGCCTTGCCTGGGCCTCAGGCTCTCATTCGCTTCCCCTCCTGTTTGGCCTGCACCAGGCCTCACTTGCCCCCACCTCTTTGTGGGGCAACAGGGCCTAAACATCTCTCTGTCATTTCTGATCCCGTCTTAGGGTAACGTGGCCATTTTGCTGGTGACATGTTTTCTTATCCCCTTGGCCTGGAGAGAAAGGCTTGCTGGGTTTTTCCAGTAGACGGGGCTGTCCTAGAAAGTGGTAGGATTAGGAAATGGCGGCCAGGTGCAGCCTAGAAACCTTCCCAGTGTGGCCCACAAAATAGAACGTGGGTTAGCCGCCTTCTGGCCTTTTTTCTCTCTTGTAACCAGGGCAGATAAGCCAAAAGGGGGCTCCCGAAGTGAGAGCTGAGATAAGAATATGCCCATTTCCTAGGACGCAGCATCCTGGCAGACACTCCCCAGCCACAGACTTGTCTCTGCATTCACAGTATCACACGTGCATGGTCCCCAGAAAGGATTCCAGGGGGAAGCATCCTCCTGATAGCATCCCGTTTACAAATGGTCTCTTTATCCAGTTTATCTCTTACCCACTTCAAGGGAGCCCTCCCTCCCTGCCTGGGGCCGACGTGAGCTCCACGGCCTGGGCCAACGTGTGTTCGTTTCACAGGCTGAGATCTTCGCTGAGCTGGGAGAGGTGGTGAAGGGCGTGAAGCCAGCCCACCGGGAGAAGACCACAGTGTTCAAGTCTCTGGGTGAGGCCACTGCTCCCAGGGCACCATCTAACCCCTGGTGGGAGGAGGAAGCAGTCAGCAGGCCCCACGCTGGCCGAGTTGTGACATCCATCATTGGGGTTCGTTGTTTACGCGTCTTTGTGCAGTGGCTAAGCCCAAGAGCTCTGGAACTGGCAGTCCAGGGTTGGCCTCCCGTCTCTGCCCCTTGGACCTCACCTCTCCAAGCCAGGGTTTCTTCACCGCCTTGAGTTTTTGTGAGTGTTAAGTGAGGAGTGTGCGTAAATGATTCTCACACAGCACGCGTCATAGTCTGTCATTTAGACACAGATGTGAATGGAACTGCTCCAGAAGTGGGGGTGAAAATTAAAATGTTTAAAAAATTGAGAGCTTAAGGGAAATGGCAGGGAGACCCAGCGTGAGAGAGACTCTGATAGTCCCTCCTTCCCTGCACCCCGCTTGCTGACTCAGGCAGAGCCCGCCACCAGCTGAGCTGGTACCAGCAGAAGCCCAAGAGAGGATGGGCTCAGTCTGCCCGTCAGCCCAGCTCTCCCACCCTGCCAGACACACGTAACAGCCGGTATTCAGCTGATATACCTAAAATACTGACACTCCCGAACTGGTTGGTAGATGAGTTGCCACCCCCCAGGACGCCCCCGGCCCACTCTGAAGCTCCTCCGCTTTTCCGTGATCCAGCCCCCGCGCTTCGGTGGCAGCAGAACCTTCAGGACGCTTCTGCCACCCTGCATCAGGCCCGTCGGTCAGCAGCGGTGCCTTGCTAGTTCCTATTTTTAAAATCTCTCATGCACAGGAAGACAGGCAACGGCAGTGCACGCTTTACCCAGATCCGGGTTCAAAGCTGTCATCACACTGGCCAGTTGTGTCTGAAAGTGTCAGAGTTCATAGCAGATCGGAGGCCAGCCAGCCCCTCTGGGAAGCAGAACACTGCAGAAATCTGCTCTGCCCTCTTGAGCAGGTCTTGTTTCCTCACTGTGGGGACTGGTTTATCGGCCCATCCCTCCGTCCAGCAGGTGCGCATTAAACACCAGTTATGTATCAGGTTCCATACTGGGTGCAGTGGTGGCTACAGAAATTAATAAAAACCAGCCCTGCCCTTGAAGAACACGCGCCCATGTGGGGTTGCTGAGGATTCAGGGTTTGGACTAGAACAGGAGTCAGCAAACTACAGCCTGTAGGCCAAACCCGGCCCACCGCTTATTTGTGTACAACCTGCAAACTAGGAATGGTTTTTACATTTTCAGATGTTTGGGGGGGGAAATTGAGTCAGATTTCGTGACACATGAGCATTATATGAAAGTCAAACTTCGGAGTCCGTGGAGAGGGTCCGACTGGAGCACAGCCAGGCTCGTTTCTTGCCCCGTTGTCCTCACTGCTGCTGCTCCGCCCACAGCGGCAGAGACCATACGGCCCCACCTAAGGACTTACCACCTGGCCCTTTACTGAAAGTTTTCTGACCCCTGCACTAAACTTTGAGTGACACTTGAGGTTTGTTTGGTGGGCATTTTGTGCTTAGTATCCTATTTCCTGCCTTGGCTTGCCCTTCATAGACCCTCCAAGCCCGAGCTTGCTGCACGTCAGTCTTTCTCACCCTGATGGGCGTTGGCACCATGGACGGTGTATCTAGAAACTGCCAGTCCCGGGCCTGTCTCAGGAAAAGCTGTTCTGACAAAAAGTGAACCGAATTTCTGTCCGTTCCAGGAATGGCGGTGGAAGACCTGGTTGCAGCCAAATTCGTGTTCGATTCCTGGTCATCTGGTAAATGAAACGCAGCGCTGCGTGCTGAAGCGGGTGCTACAGATCAAGGGGTGTTGCCTCTAGTTGACTCATAATTTCTAGATCGAGTGAGGGAACCCAGTGCCCAGTGAGCTACAGTTTTGTGCCCATTATGTCTTATCTTAAGTAGTGAGAACCCCACTTGTGTTTGTAGTTAGAAAGTGAAATCGGGCGGCCATCCCTCTGTCCCCCAGATTCCAGCAGCACCCCCTTTCCAGGTACCTCACTAGCTTCTGTAACTCCTGGAAATAAAGCATTTTCCATTTCTGCAGCTCTTGGTTGGCCAACTTCTGTCCCTCGTGGCAAGGAAAGCGGGGGGACCTGGTGTTCCCATTCACTCTTTGGAGGAGCTCCAATGACTATAATTAAATGTTTTCTACCTTTAAAATTGAGATACGATGTATGTACTACAGAATTCACCAGTTTGAAGGGTACGATTCAGTGGGTTTGGGTCTGTTCACAGAGCTGTGCAGCCATCACCACCGTTTAATTCCAGGGCATTCCATCACTCCATGTCCACTGTCAGTCACCCCTCATCCTTCCTTCCCCGCCCCTGGCACCATGAATCTACCTTCTGTCGTTATGGATTTGCCCCTTCTGGACATTTCATAGAAGTGCAATCAGTCACACATGCAGCCTTTTGTTTTTTGCTTCTTACAATTAAAGTTTCAGGGGACAGTTTAGCTTCTGTGTTGGTCAGAACCCCTTTGTTCACAAGTGGTAGAGACCACAACTCGAACTCCTTCAGCTGAATGAGTCTATGACGAGGAATGGAATTTACTGACTCTTGTCACTAAGAAGTAACCGGCAATGCTTCCAGCTACAGCTGCATCCAGGGCCCCAGGTGTCCGCAAGACCCAGGCTTGTTGCCTCCACCCCTCAGCTCTGTTCTCTTCAGTGTTGGCTCCATGATCGAGCGAATTTCCCCCCGGTAGGGGCAGGATGGTCACCAGCAGCTCCTGAATCATAGTCTGTCGTCTCCAACAACCCCAGCAGAAATAGGCATTCTCTTCCTTAACAGTTAAGAGTCCCAGAACTGAGACTCACTGGACTGTCTGGGTCACATGCCTGATCTTGTGCCTGGCACTGTGGCTGAAAGACGTGAGTGGTCTGGGGTGAGGCAGGACCTGGTTCCTCGGAAGAGGGAACCGAGAGCTCCCAGGAGCGGGGACACTTCACTTTGCCTCATTTGCTCCCTGACATACAAGACCCAAGCTAATTCTGACTGTTCTGTTCATACACTTTGAGCCAATCTTTGCGATGGTCACAGATAGAGTATTTACCTTTAATTGGAACAACAGGAGATCTTCAGGGAATGGTACGTAAGCCTATGGAGTCCACAAGCTGGGGCACCTTAATTAAAATAAAATGCAACTGTTCAAAAACAGACAACTTCTAATAGCCCATCCTGGCCTCACAGAGGTTTAGTTATTCACTGTGATTACATGTGTGCTCCCTCCTTTTTAACCCAGCAATTTGATGGAATTCTTATATGAGGTTTTAAAATCCACGTGTCTTCCAACTAGAAACGATCAACTCAGCGGAGCAGTTAGGACTAAATCCTACAGGCTGGTTCCGGCAGCACTGCCACGGGCCTGCCTTCCCCTGTTCTCTCAGACCACCTTTGCACGTCCCGCCGCTGTGTTCTGTCCTGCGAGTGCACTGTGGATTCCAGCTGCCTCTGCTAGAGAGCACCACTGGGCTTCTCTGTTACCCTTACCTCTGGCAATCGCGTGCAAAGCACTCCTGGGACGCACCCTTTTGGTTAGCAGCCCGTCCCTAGTGGCCTCTACTCCTATAGCCTAGCAGCAGGTGTCCGTCGGGCCATCCCGGGGAGTGCATGGGGAGAGGGTCCTGGCACCTGCAATACTCAGGTCCTCATAGAGGCAGGTTCAGACACGGCAAACTTTTTTGAGTGCCTTCTATGTGGCGACTGCTTCTGTGCACATGAAAGAAAGCAAATGCAACGTCAGTTTATTCCAGACCAACAAAATGCAATATTTGTAAACATAATCTCCGCTTAGTGCAGTGTATCTGTGCGAAGACTGACAACCTCTCTGAATCCACTCATTGTGGGAAAATGAGCCGATTGTCCGTCAGACTTGAGACCTGTATCCTCGCTACACTTTTACCCTCGTGGTGCCTCCTGATAACCCACACAGATGTGCATCAGGAAGCATGCTGAAGGAATCATTGTTTTTATTTTATACACATAATTGATGGTAAATTTCACTTGATGTAAGTCTGGCTATAAAAACCCAATGAAGCTTAGCTATTCAGTAGGGTTTTGATTCGAATTTGAGATTGCCACTCAAAAAATGTCAGCAGCGATGTTGCCAACTTACATCATAGAACCTACATGAATTCCAACGTGCAGCAATGGTAATAGACAACAGTAAATAAAAAGGTAAGCACATTATGAGCATGAAAATATAAAATTTACTCTTATAATAAAATTCTTCCTACAAAGAACCTAGATTTTTTTCCCCCTTTTAAGTTTCAGGGGGTATTTACCTTTAGAAAAATCATCAAATAAGCCAGACTTTTCCTCCCCTGTAATTTTCTTTCCCTTCCCCCCACCCTCGTGCTCAGGTACTATATTGTTAGTCTGTTAGGGCTGCCATAACAAAATACCACAGACTGGGTGGCTTAAACAACAGAAATTTATTTTGTCACAGCTCTGAAGGCTGGAAGTCCAAGATCAGGTGTCGGCAAGTCCGGTTTCTCCTGAGGCCTCTCTGGGTTGCAGATGGCTGTCCCCTGGCTGTGCCTTCACATGGCTTTTCCTCCGTGCATGTGCATCCCTAGCATCTTTCTCCTTATAAGTACACCAGCATATTGGATTAGGGCCTCACCCTTATGACCCCATTTAACTTCAATCATCTCTTTAATAAAGGTCCTATCTCCAAATACAGTCACATTGGGGGGGAGGGCTTCATTATATGAACTTAGGGGAAACACAATTCAGTCCATAGCAGATACCCTATGTTCTATTTCTCTCTTCGCTCTCCCAACCTGACACACTGTCGTTCTTAAGCAGAAGTATTGAAGATCCATTTCCTTTACTTGCAAACATGTAGACATCTGTTAAAGGTTTAGACACATTTCAGTTGGATATCAAATCTCACACCAATGAAGGAGCTTTGATATCCGCCTATAAAGTCTAGAGCTCAGGACAGAACTGGGGTTAGAATCCCCAGGCCATGAGAACCAGAAAGTAGAAAGCAGTGTGATGAGGGATTATAATCTTAAATCCAGAGTTGGAAAAGTAAAGAGAGTTTTTTCTCTTCTCTGCCATCCATTTAACCCTTTCCATATTAAAAAAATATATTAAAAATATAACTGAAGAGAAATGCCATTTTTTATTCCCAGGTCTCCTTGAGTTTCTCACTGGTGGTTTGTTTGTATNATGCCATTTTTTATTCCCAGGTCTCCTTGAGTTTCTCACTGGTGGTTTGTTTGTATAGGTTCAGAGAATTTCTCAGGGTAGAGCTTGGGCCTCTCTCTTAGGTGGGCATCTCCCAAACCTCAGACACCATCCCCTGTGGAGGCATTCAGGAGAGAGCGGGCGTTGCCTGGAGTGCTTCCCGTGGGCCACAGCCCCACGCGCCCTGCCGACCCTGCACACCATCACAGGCTGGTGTCGACCAGTTGTCCAGGCTGTTGGAGCACTTGCTTCCTTCTGCTTATGGCACTGAGAACTTTCTTCCTGGGACCCAGCTGCATTTGTATGCTCTGGAGGTCCTCATCGGAGCAAAGCAACAGAGCATCTAAATCAATCTGCTCTCTCATGAAAAAGGGAAGGAGTTTTTCCAGGTGGTGGGACTGCAAGAATACTTCCAGGGGGGTAGCGTCAACCACGTCTTCCTCCCACTCCACTACATCTTTATCCCAAGGCAAATCATCTTCCAAGCTGCTTTCATCTCCCTCTTCATCGGCCTCAGCTTCATCGGCCTGTGCTGTTCCTTGTCTCTGAAGCAATTCACTGGGCACTTTAAACCCCAGCTCCCTCTTGCTGTCTGAGATGTCTTCGGGGCTCAATATTTTGTTCCTTCTAAACACAATATTTCCTAGACCTGGACGGCTGAGGATGGATTCATGCTGTGCACAGCTGTCCTCTGCTGAGAGCTGGAGCTTCTCCTTGAAGTCCCCCGAGACAGTGTCTTCTTCCTCCTCTCTGAAAACTTCCATTACATTCCTCTGCCCATTCCTGTATTCCTTCCCAGCCTGCTCTGCTGTGTCTTTATTCTTCCTGAACTTTGTCTTGAAGGTGCCTTTAATGCCCTTAGACAGGGACCCAAATGTGCTGGAAGCAGAAGCACTTGAAAGGGATGCCTTAGAAAAAGTGCTCTTGGAGGAGGAAAGGGTCCCTGACTCCTCCTTTCTGTAGGTGCGTGCCATCTTGTTTTGGTGCTTCTCCTGGAGCCTCTCACACTCTTTGATCTGCCGCCTGGCATTCTTCTGAGCCTGCTCCTTCAGCCTCGTCACTTTCTTGGGGTTCATGATGTTCTGCGCAGTGGCTGCCTTATCCAGGAGACCAACGCACTCATTCTGCTCTCTGCTGGCGGCAGCATCCAGTGGAGACTGAAAGTCATTGTCCAAGGCAAAGATGTTGGCCCCAAAGTTGATCAGGAATGAGACGCAGTGGGCGTGACCGTTGGAGGCTGCGTGATGTAGAGGAGTGTTTCCCCAGATGTCACATCTATCAGGGTCCCCTCTGGAAGAGAAAATATCAAAAATACATGCTTAATTTTCCCCCCCCTGTACATAAGGTCCAAAAAAAATTAAAAAAAGAAAGAGCAACATGCATGTTAATTCTGCCTTGGCATTGTTAGAAGATAACTTCTGAAAGTCTAGATATGTCATATCCAGACATCGCATGGCCAGAAACAGAAAAAGCCCATTTCTACCCTGGGTCTTATTTCCAAAACACTCCCTCAAAAAGCAACTTTCATGTCTCATTGACCAGAATTGGGTCATATGCGTAATGAGAGGGAAATAGAGCTACAATGTTTAACTTAGATTAATTAGAATTTCTCCCTAAAGAAAGGGATAGGATTACCCAATGGTGTGCTAGTAAATGTTGCACAACTATCTCACCCAGGAAAACAAATCAAAGCCCTGATTTAGAATGCGTGCCAATTTATGTGGTGTAAATACAACCACCATGGCAAATTTCAAGCTGCTTATGTGGCATTACTGGACATGGGATTTGGAGGAGATGCAANCAATTTATGTGGTGTAAATACAACCACCATGGCAAATTTCAAGCTGCTTACTTATGTGGCATTACTGGACATGGGATTTGGAGGAGATGCAGTAGCACACCATTATATATTATCCCCACCACATCGATAGAATAGACAGACATAATCCTAAGAGCATACACAATGGTGAAATAATTAGGAAATAATGAGCTTTAAGTATTTTTAAATATAATTCATTAAATTATAGCATTATATAATTTCATTTTTAATAATGGCTGTATTTGACTCTCAGACTTCCCAGAAATTTAACAGTCATCTCTCATGAGCTGGTAAGAGCTGTTTCCAGCACACCACGGCTACCCTCCCCCGAGTCACGCACAGAAAAGTAAATACCTGAACCAAACTGGGTCCCTCCCTATCAGCAAGAAAAAAGAGAGGACCGGATGTTGGGTAGGTAGCAAACAGTGTCTGCTGCACCCATTATTCATTGGAAGGGTAGAACATCTCCACCGATTCCTCCACTTACATCCATGGAATTAGTGTCAAAGATGTGAAGAGTCCTGCAGTGGTTTAAAGGGAATTGGGAGCACTGGTAGATGGTATTCAGGCCAGAGACCCATTGCCGGCACAGGAATAAGGCCATGGAAGGTGCTCAGTAAAGACTGGTGAGGTCAATGAATGCCTACTGGAATCCTGCCCAGGTTACAGCCCACTCCCACCCCCACCCCCAGGGTTTGAGTTACAAGCAGGCGCAAATGGAAAGTAAGGCAACAGCTTATTGTTGCCCATGGCTTTGGCCCCAGGCCCCTGCTGAGAATCCTGATAATACGGGTCCTAGAGGACCCCAGCCCAGACTTCCTGAATGAGAATCGGCATCCCCAGGTTTCCAGGCACACCGCAGGACTGAGAAGAGCTGTACTAGTCCATGCGGCCAACCGGCGCCCAGCAGTTTGATGACTCAGGTGCATCGCTCCTCCGTGGGAACCCCTGGCCTCCTCATGCCTTTCAGTTACAAGGCATCTACACCTCGCTGCCCCTCCAGCAACCAACCCAGCCTTCGTCTTAGAGAAGGAAGGTGAGGGTCATCATCGGAGGAGTGAAATCAGGCTGTGAGCGGTTGACGGGCCTGCCCAGGGGGACACAGGCAGCCCACTTGGCTCCGGCTGGCCTCCCAGCCTAATGGTCTCCATGGGCACACACCCCAGCTCTTCTGCACGACCGGTCACGAGGCTTCACACTTAATGTCCTAGGACTCAGTATCTTCGTCTGCAAATTGAGGATAATGTTACCTACTCACAGGGCTGTTACATGAATAAGTTAGAATACATAAATCATTAGAGAAGTGCTTGGTACATAGTGAATGTTCATAAACATTACCTATCACTTTTCTTGTCTCAAAACTCATAATCCATAATTTCATACAGTTCTTCCTCACCCGTCAGTAAGTTCCTGCAGCAGTGCAATAGCTCTTGTGGTTTTCCACACATATAGTCTCACTAATTAGTCAAATATTTATGCCGTCTCCTGAATTAGTTAATATGCCTCAGACGGCAAAGCCTTTGTCTTTCCTTCAGTGTCTTTTTTTTTTTTTTTTCAATCCTCACCCAAGGATATGCTTTTATTGATTTTATTTTATTTTTTTTAATTTAATTTTTTTCGTCACCATTTATCCCCTCTACGCCCACCTCCACCTACCCCTCCCTCCACAGTCACCATGCTGTTGTTCATGTCCGTGAGTTCTCTTTGTTGTTGTTTTTGCTCAACCCCTCCACACCCCCCAAGATTCCCACACCAGAGCTGTCTGCCGGCTCTCTGTCTGTGAGTCTGTCTCTGTTTTTTTGGGTCGTGAATTCAGTTTGTGCATTAGATTCCACATATGAGCGAGATCATGTGACACTTGTCTTTCTGTGACTGGGTTATTTCCCTCAGTATAATGTTCTCCAGGTGCATCCATGCTGCTGCAAAGGGTAAGATTTTCTTCCTTTTTACAGCAGAATAGGATTGAGAGAGAGAGAGAGAGGGAGAGAGAGAAACATGAATGTGAGAGAGAAACATCGGCCTGTTGCTTCCCTTTGGGCCCTGACCTGGGATCGAACCCGCAACCTCGGTCTGTGCTCTGACTGGGAATTGAACCCATGACCTTTCGGTGTGTGAAGTGACGTTCCAACCAGCTGAGCCACCCGGCCAGGGCCTGTGTGTTTTTTGTCCTTTCTGTCACCTATATCTCTGGGCAGAAGCCTCAAACCCAACCTGAAAAACAGAGCAGGCGATGTAAGTAGCTGAACGGGGCCAGGTTTATCTTTTCAACTGAGTCACAGTTCAGCGCGAGTTCCTTCTAGAAAGAAGAGCTGTCTGTCTCTCGGCTGTGGCTAGATGCTATTTCGAAGAACAGCAGACACAGTATTGCCAGAACTTCCATTTTTCAAACAAAGCCAGAAATCCAAGATTTTATGTGAAACTTTTTGACTTTTAAATGTTGGCTCAAATTTAAAAGGAAAATACAGTAAAGTCCAAGTAAAATATATTTGTGGGCTAGAGCCAGCCCGTAAGCTGGCAGCTGGCAACCTCCTCCTGAGCAGAGAACAGCGTGAGCAGATGCGCATGTGGGTGACATTCCATGGCATATTTGGAGAACCAAGAGTTTACTTCAAAGTGACCAGAGTACATGGAGATGTACAAAGAGGAAGGAAAGAAAATATTAAATAACACAGTTGGTTGGGCGGCCACCTTCAAAAGAGCTCTGGCCAGTCATCCTGATTTAATTGTCTTGGGTCAAAGTAAACCTTTCATTCGTAACACAGGTATTGACTTTAACCAAATACCATATTCAAAAGACAAAAGAGGGATTGTAAAACATTCAAGACATTACTATAAACATAACCAAAAACATACTGATTAAATTTGCCTGAAATTATTCTTGGATTGGTTCAATTAAAAAAGAAATTATTGAGATGAGTGAACTGCAGTGGGGATGTTACAGGATATTAAGAAGCGTGGGTTAAGTCTACACACGTCGAGCCATAGAGTAGTGGAATTTTCCATCTCAAGGGATCTTAAATGTTCCTTTCAAGATGAGGAATAGCATGATGAAACACTGAGGTGACCCTAAAGATGGGTCATCTTTTATGAAAATTTTGAATGCAAAATTCCAGATTTACAGATGAAGCCATCAGAAAAACGACTCATGACCCCCAGTGCATTACAGTTACTTCCAGTTGAAGAAGTTCTACTTATAAACAACTTTCCAAATGGATGTGCAACTTAGATAAAAATATTTCTCTTGACAGGTTTCATGGGGTCTTCAAAACTCAGCCTTTGTTTTTCACTCCTGGGGGCCTGTTATATTTCTTGAAAGAACCATTACACATACCTGTCCAGGTATACACAAACTGGTCCACCTCACTGATTGGAGTCCAGTATTGATGTTATGCAGTTTCCTGGGGGTAAATTGAATTTAATGTTGTTTTTTTACCTATCACCCCCTTTTTTTCCAAAAGAGAAACTCACTGAAAAGATTTTTAAATAACCATATTTTCCCCTTGTGTTTCGGTAGATCAGTACATTGGGATAATACTCTTTAAAGCTGGATTGCTCTTATTGTCACTAAATAGGCAATTTGCTTATATTAAATTACTGTGAGCATCTGTTCCATATCAATTCCTCCTTTTGAAGTTGAGTTGATTTTTTTGTGTGAATTTCTTTCTCAGAAAAAAAAAATCATTCTTTCAAAAATGTTTTTCCACATAAGAAGGAATATTTAGACTCATTAATAATCAAAGAAAAGCAAATGAAAACAATACACTACCATTTATTTGCCTATCGGATAGGCAAAGACTAAAAAGAATTGTAATATGAGTTTGGGCAGAAGTGTGGGACATGGACATTGCTGGAGGAAACATAAAGGGGTTCAAATTTCCGGGCACAAGCTGTGCCAAAAGCATTTAAAACGTGGCATCTTCTTGAATCAACAATTCTGCCTTTGGGAATTTATCCTAAGGAAATACCAGACCCTGTGTAAAGATGAACGATCAAGGATGTTTGTCCAACTTATTTACAACAAGGACTGGATTTAAATGAAACATCATGAACAAGCAACTGATTAAATAAATTATGATGAAACCATAAAACAGAATGCCATGTAGCCATTAAAAATAAGCAGGATCTCTAATTTGTAAGTACAAATGGTCCTTGATATATTGCCAAATAATTGGAAGCAGGTTTTAGGAGAGTTTGTGTAATATGATTGCCCTTTTAATGGGATAAGTATACCCGTGTGAGCACGTGCTCAACGGGAGAAATCTGGAAGGACATACGTTCAAATGTTGATGACTGACAATTGCTTTTATTAAATGTATCTTTCCAATGTGATATGAAATGTTACAGTAAGTAGTTTTCCTTTAAAAATCAGAGAGGAAGGAAACGTTTCCATTTTAGAAAATGAAACAAAACTAAAAAAATTCATGAATACCCTTTTTTAAAACAAAATGAAATCTTGTGTAATTGAGGCCATTTTTCCAGGGTAGGGTAACACATGTAATTACTGCTTTCCATCATTAAATTTAAAAAAGAAAGAAAAAGTTTTTTAGCAAAGCCAGAGTTGGGATATTAACGGTTACCACATGGTCCAAGGTCTCAATCGGGTAGTGACAGAAAAACACTGAGATCACCAGACTGGAATAGAGCTCAATGACTGATTAACTTCTAAATTCAATTTGTAATTGGCTTCCCTTTTTAGCCCCCTTCAATCTAATTGGCAATTTGATCTCACAGGTTACTGAAGATTGGCTAGGGTCAAAATGGGAGGTGACTTATGAAGAACCTCAGAGAACATGTTTTTTCAGCCCAAAATCTGGGCTGTCCTGGAATGGATCAGAAGACAAGAGCTGAGAAGGAAGGGCTGGAAAAGTAGGGTTAGAAGAACTTGTTTGCCCATAGTCCGTGTTTAATAAATATAATTTAATGGACTGGATTTTGAGATTACACTGAAAGGAATTACCATGTCAAATAAGTCGGAAATGGGTGAGCTATACAGCAAATTGTGTTGGGATAAATGATTAACCACTTGGGGAAGGTATAGTGAGATCAAAACCTCAAACCTTAAATCAAAATAAATAATATACGAATTTAGTATTTAACATAAATACTTAATAAAACAAATGAAACTTAAAAACTGCTAAAAAATATATCAGTCAGTCTTTAGGCAGGACCTCAAATTGGAATTATATCATACAATTGAAAGGCTTAAGTATGAAATATACACTTAAAAATATATACTTAAATATATTTATATTTTCATTTATATCTAAAATATCTGATGTGCCCGGCTGGACTGGCTCAGTGGCTTGAGCATTGATCTATGATCCAGAAGACAGCGGTTCGATTCCCGGTCAGGGCACATGCCCAGGTTGCGGGCTTGATCCCCAGCAGGGGGCAGCTGATCAATGACTCTCTCATCATTGATGTTTCTCTCTCTCTCCCTCTCCCTTCCTCTCTGTAAAGTTAATAAAGACATATGTTTTAAAATAAAATATCTGATATAAAAATATGAATTATGAATTGTGAAAATATTTGTAACATAATGACAAAAGACTGGTGTTATAACTTTAAAAGGCATTTTTTTATGAATCAATAAGAAATGTTGAAGACCCCAATAGAAAAGTGGGACAAGGCCTGTGTGGCTCAGCAGTTAGAGCGTCAGCCTTTGCACTGAAGGGCCTCAGGTTCAATTCCCAGCCAAGGTCATGCACCTGGACTGCAGGTTCCCTCCCTGCCCCTGGTCAGGGCACGTGTGGGAGGAAACCAGTCAATGTGTCTCTCTCACATCAATGTTTCTCTTTCTTTCTCTCCCTCCCTCCCTTCCTTTCACTGTCTCTGAAAAGCAATAGAAAAAATAAAGATAAAAAAAGTGGGGCAAGATTATAAATACACAGTCCACAAAAGTAGAAATATGGTGGCCACTTAACATAAAAAGAATTTTCAACTTCATGAGTAACCAAAGAAAAGAGCATTAAAGCAACAGTGATATATCATTTTGATATATTGACAAAAATATATGATATTGACAAAAATCTATACTTCTTTCTGAAGAATAATTTGTCAGTACACACAAAAGAGTATTTAAATTGTACACATACCAATTGATCCACAAATCTCACTTTGGAGAATTTATCCTCAAGAAAATGAGAGCAAAGATTTATGTACAAAGATACTTGTCACAGTGTTTAAATAATGAGAAACAAATTATTTACCCAAAAAAGAAACTAAGAAATATATTTATGGACTAAAATAACAAGTCCCTGAAAATTAAATTATGGAAGAATATCTATTCACACAGAAAATTTTCACTATGTATTGAGGGTTAAAAATATGATGCTGCCAAAAATGTCTACTTAGATATCATTTTGTGTGTGTATATAAATATATACATATTTATACAATGTCTATACATATATATACATATATATTTATGTACACTATATATATTATATATAACACAACTGTTACTAGCATGACACTATATGACATTTTTCCTTTATAATTTGTTTGCATATATATGGTTTATTTTCTGGGTTCAGCTTAAGTTACATTTGTCATAAAGGCCAATAGAACAGTGAGTGTAAGGTACAGTTTCAGGCATACAAAGGAGAGAGAGGAGATGAAAAGGGAGAGGGAGGGAGAGAGAGGGAGGAAGGGAGGGAGGGAGAGAGAGAGGCTGCGGGAGAACTCCTAGGCGTTGCCACTGAAACCGGGCCTCAGAGGGAGCGAGGCCTTTGGTGGGCTGGGAGGTGACCGGCATGGTCCTGGAGCAGCCCTGGGCCACTGGAAGCAGACGGGGAAGTCTGGGGGGAGAGGAGAGGAGAGGGGAGGAGAGGGAGCCACCCTGCGCTGTAACCGGGCTGGGGTGAGGGAGCGGGGCAGGGTGGGGACTGGGAAAGGAAAGGACCAGCAGACCGGTGGAGAAAGCTCTGGGAGGCCTCCTCGCTCAGCTCTCCACCCAGAATCCCTGTGCACCCCCGTTGGTTCTTCTCACTTTCCCTCAAGTGCCCCCCTTCAATAAAGGGTCCGACACCCACAAGATGTTGAAGCCAGGGCCTGGGGTCTTGCTTCTCCCGTGCGGCCTTGCCTCCTACCACTTGGCCTGTCCCACCGGAGCCATGCCCAGCCTTCCTCAGCCTCTTCACCCCGAGGACGCCCGGTGCTCTCCCCTGGGCACCCTTCCTCCCTCCTTCACCTGGCCAGCTCCTCTCACCCTTTAAACCGCAGCTTCAATGCTCCAGGAAAGCCTCCTCTCACCCCCCAGAGATGCTCTGTCCCCCATCACCATGAGGACAGGGATTGTGTCTCTCTTGTTGACTGCAGCATCCCCAGCAGCTACCAAAGTGGATGACAAATAGCAGATATGTATAAATAAATACGTAATGAATTGAAGTAAATTCACTGGGCTCCTTGGTTTACATTTTTCTTTTTTCACGTCTCCTGGGTTATAGTTGCCAGCGCTGCCCCTCTGTTAACAAGCAGGAGGAAGGAGCTAGCTAGCTCCTGAGATAGAATTTGTCAGGGGGGTGGAAGTGGGGGGTGGATGTATCTGACTGCCAGAGAGGTAATGCAGGAAGGACACAGCTTATAAAGTCAGCAACTGCGTCTAAGAATCGTGGACTGGCACCAGGATTAAGTGTTAATAAAAGACTCTGGGATTTTAATGGTGTAGATTAAAAACATAAAATAACATCATCTGTTCCAATCAGGGTTGACATCTTAAAACCATGTAGAACAGTGATCTCTTTTTTAAAGGGGCAACCATTTGAATTTTAGGGACAATATTTTTTAAGGCACAGAATTAAAATATCCTCCCCGTGAGGGTGATAACCCGCCTTAGAGTTCAGGGCCCCTCCCCTGTGTGCAGCTCACAAAGGGTGAGCCAGCCCCATGGTGCCAGCTCTCAGTGAGCAAAGAGAGCGTCTTTAGGCGGTTTTTCCCCTTTCTCTAAAAAGGAATATTTTAATCTAGTTATTTAGACAGTCTAGAGAGAGGGCAAAGTATTTTCACAGACTTCCCTGCCTCTCACTGCTGGTCTGCCAAATCCTACCGTAAACAGTGTCCAGTCGAAACCTTCAGGCTGCACTTACCCTCTGCTGCAGATGATCTCTAGGGCTTCCAAGTTCCCGTGGTAGGCGGCCAGCAGTGTGGGAGTCATGCCATCCTCATCAGAAAGGTTCAGATCTCTCTTGGTGGCCTCTTTCAGGAGTTCCAGGTAGCTGTCACTAGCAGCTTGGTGGTAGCGAGTGGACATTTTTTCTGCTCACCAATGCTTGGCCAGATACCATCTCCAGGCAGGGCAGGTGCCAGCCTTCCTACAAAGCTGGTTAATTAGTGACGAAAAAGAGTGTCACCCAGGGCAAAGCTCATCCCAGCCTCCCTCCTTGGAAGGCAGCCAGAAGAATTTATGGCCCTGAACTTGGACCTTTCCTTTCCGGAACGGCCATGACACTGAATATTGAGACTGCTGTGTTCCTCTTGAGTGTTCGGGGGACACATTTAAGTTTTTAATTTCCATTAACAAGTCTTGAATATAATATTGGTTATCTAGGCTTAGGATGTTTAAAATAATTTCCAAAAAAAATTAGAACTAGTCTTGTTCCTTGGGGAAGTGTATTTTTAAAGGTGTTTTATTGAGGTTGAATTTACATACTATGAAACTCGCTCATTTTAAATATACAATTCAATGATCATTAGTAAATTACAGAGTTGTGTAATCATTACCATAATCCAATTTTAGAGCATATCCACCACCCCCAAAATATCCCTCAGGCTAGCTTGTAGTCCATCCCCATTCCTGTTCCCAACTCAGGAAACCACTAGTCGGCTTTGTGTCTCTACAGTCTTGCTTTTCATGGGAATTTCCTATAAATGGAATCATACAAAATATAGTCTTTTTTTAAAAACATGTATTGAACTATATTTTTACTTTTTTAAATAGGTGTTTATTGATATTTAGATAGAGAAGAATCGAGAGGGAAAGAGAAATAGAAACTTCAACATTGATTGGCTGCCACCTGCATGCCCCCTGCTTCGGATCGAGCCCACAACCCAGACATGTGCCTGGACCAGGAATCGAACTGGTGACCTCCTGGTGCATGGGTTGACGCTCAACCACTGAGCCACACCTTCTGGGCTGAACTATATTTTTAGATTTTTAAAATACATTCATTCTTTTTTATCCCTTCCAATTTTATTTTGTATTGGTTTCAATTGTACAGCTAGTGCTTACACAATCATATACTTTACATAGTGTTCCCCTCAATATTTCCAGTACCCCACTTGGCGCTATGCATAGTTATCACAGTATTATTGACTATTTTCCTTATGATTTACTTACATCCCCACAACTATTTTGCAACTACCAATTTGAACTTCTTAATCCCTTCACCTCTTTCACCCAGTTCCCCCAATGCCCCTCCCTGCTGTCAACAACCAGTTCACACTGTGTCCATGAGTCTGTCGCAATTTTGTCACTTTATTTTCTTCTTTAGATTCCACATATAAATGAAATCTTATGATATTTGCCTTTCTCTGACTGACTTGTTTTACTGAGCGTAATAACCTGTAGGTCCATCCACACTGTTGCAAATGGTAAGATTTCATTCTTTTTTATGGCTGAGTAATATATATGTGTATATATATATATGTAATTAGATATAGATATAGATATAACCACTTGTTTATCCACTCATCTGTTGATGGTCATTTGGGTTGCTTCCATATTAGTGTTTTGGATTTCTTTGGACAAATCCCCAGGAGTGGAATTGCAGGGTCATAAGGCAGCTCCATTTTTAATTTTTTGAGGACCCTCCATACTGTTTTCCAGAGAAGCTGCACCGGTCTGCATTCCCAGCAGCAGGGCAGGAGGGTTCCCTTTTCTCCACACCCTCACCAGCACTTGTCATTTGTGGATTTATTCATGACAGCCATTCTGACGGCTGTGAGGTGATTTTAATTTGCATTTTGGTTTTAATCTTATCACGGTTTTAATTTACATTTCTCTCTCTGACGTTGAGCCTCTTTTCATATGACTATTGACCATCTGTATGTCCTCTTTGGAGAAGTGTTTGTTCTGGTTCCCTGCCCATTTTTTATTGGATTATTTGGGTTGTCTTGGTGTTGAGTTGTAAGAGTTCTTTATATATTTTGCATATTAACCATTTATCAGATGTATCACTGGTAAATATGCTCTCCCATTTAGTAGGCTGTCTTTTCATTTTGTTGATGGTTTTCTTTGCTGTGCAAAAACATTTTAGCTTGCTGTAGTACCATTCAAATATTTTATCATTTGTTTCCTTTGCCTGAGAAGATATATCAGAAAAAATATTGCTACAAGAAATTTCTGAGATATTGCCTATGTTTTCTTTTAGGACTTTTATGGTTTTGAGTTTTACATTTCTGTCTTTAATTCACTTTTAGTTTATTCTTAAATATGGTGTGAAAAGGTGATCTAGTTTTATTTTTTGCATGTATCTGTCCAGTATTCCCAACACCACTTATTGAATGGATTGTCTTTACCCCAGTCTACATTCTTGCTTCCTTTGTGAAATATTAATTGACCATATTGGTGTGGGTTTATTTCTAGGCCCTCTAGTCTGTTCCATTGATCTATATGTCTGATTTTATGCCAGTACCATACTGTTTTGATTACTATGTCCTTGTTGTATAGTTTGATATCAGGTAGCCTGAAACTCCCGACTTTGTTCTTTCTCAATATTGCTGAGGCTATTCAGGCTTTTTTGTGGTTCCAAATCATTTCGGGGTTATTTGTTCTAATTCTGTGAAATACACCATTGGTGTTTTGACAGGAATTGCGTTGACTCTATAGATTGCTTTGGGTTGTATGAACAAATTAATGATGTTAATTCTTCCTATCCATGAGCATAGTATATGCTTCCACTTATTTGTATCTCCTTCTATTTCTTTCAGTGCCATATAATTTTTTGAGCACAGGTCTTTTACATCCTTGGTTAAATTTATTCCTAAGCATTTTATTCTTTTTATAGATTGTAAATGGGATTGTTTTTTTAGCTTCCTTTCTGATACTTTATTATTGGTATATAAAAATACAACCAATTTTTGAATATTAGTTTTGTATCCTGCTACTTTACTGAATTAATTTATCCATTCTAGTAGTTTTTTCTATGGAGTCTTTAGGGTTCTTTATACATAGTATTATGCCATCTGCAAATAATGGGAGTTTTATTTCTTCCTTTCCAACTTGGGTGCCTTTTATTTTTTCTTCTTGTCTGATTGCGGTAGCTAGGACTTCCAGTACTATGTTGAATAAGAACGGTGAAAGCGCACATTCCTGTCTTATTTCTGATCTTAATGGAAATGCTTTTTGTGTTTCCCCACTGAGTATGATGTTGGCTGTGGGTTTGTCATATATGGTCTTTATTACATTGAGGTATGTTCCCTCTATTCCCACTTTGCTGAGGTTTTTTAAAATCATAAATGGGTGCTGGATTTTGTCAAATGCTTTTTCTCACCTATTGATATGATCATGTGATTTTTATCCCAAATTTTGTTTATGTGACAAGCCGCATTAATTCATTTCCAGATATTGTATCAACTTTGCATCCCAAGAATAAACCCCACTTGATCATGGTGTATGATTTTTTTAATATATTGCTGGATTCAGTTTGCTAATACTTTGTTGAGGATTTTTGCATCTAAGTTTATCAGGGATATTGACCTAAAATTTTCTTTCTTTGTAGTGTCTGTATCTGGTTTTGGAATGAGCTTGGGAGTCCTCCTTAAACTTAAATTTTATGGAATGGTTTAAGAAGGATCTGTGTTAGTTCTTTGAATGTTTGGTAAAATTCACCTGTGAAGCCACCTGTCCAGGACTTTTGTTTGCTGGGAGTGTTTTGAATACTGCTTTGATTTCATTAGTTGTAATCAGTCTGTTTAGATATCTGATCCTGATTCAGTTATTGAAGATTGTATGTTTCTAGGAATTTATCCATTTCATCCAGATCATCTAATTCGTTGGCATATTTTCTTACAGTCCTTTGTATCTGTGGTGTCAGTTAGCACTTCTCTTTCATTTCTGACTTTATTTATTTGAGTCCTTTCTCTTTTTTCCTTTAGAGTGTGGTTAAAGTTTTGTCAATCTTGTTTATCTTTTCAAAAACACAGCTCTTGGTTTTACTAATCTTGTGTGTGTGTGTGTTTTTAGTCTCTATGTCATTTATTTCCTCTCTAATCTTTATTATTTCCTTCCTTCTACTCACTTTGGGGTGTTTTTTTCTAGTCCCTTTAGGTGTAAGGTTAGATTGTTTATTTAAAAATTTTCTTGCTTCTTGAGGCAGGTCTGTAATGCTATGATTTTCTTTCTTAGGACTGCCTCACTGTGTCCTGTAGATTATGATTTGCTGTGTATTTATTTTCATTTGGTTCAAGGTAACTTTTGCTTTACTCTTTGGCCTCATTGTTAACCCATTCATTGTTTAGTAGCATGTCATTTAGCCTTCATGTGTTTGTGTGTTTTTCAGGGTTTTTTTCATGTAATTTATTTGTAGTTTCATACAACTGTGGTTGGAGCAGAGGCTTGATATAATTTCAATCTTCTTAAATATATTGAGACTTGTTTTGTGTTGTAACATGTGGTCTATCCTAGAAAATGTTCCATGTATACTTGAAAAGAATGTGTATTATGCTGCTTTAGGGCGAAATGTTGTGAAAATATCAATTAGAGCCATCTGGTCTAGTGTGTCATTTAAGGCTACTGCTTCCTTGTTGACTTTTTATCTGGAAGATTTACCTGTTGATTTCAATGGTGTGTTAAAGTCTCCTACTCTGACTGTATTACTATAAATCTCTCCCTTTGTGTTCATCAATATTTGCTTTATATATTTGGGTGTTCCTCTGTTGGGTGCATAAGTGTTTACAAGGGTTATATCGACTTCTTGGATAGATCCCCTTATCATTATGTAATGTCCTTCTTTGTTTCTTATTAGAGACTTTGTTTTAAAGTCTATTTCATTTGATATAAATACTGCTACCTCAGCTTTTATTTTTATTTATTTATGTTTTAAAAATTTATCTTTATTGATTTCAGAAAGAGGAAAGGCGAGGGAGAGAGAGAGGTAGAAACATCAATGATGAGAAAGTCATTGATCGAGCCTGCAACCCGGGCATGTGCCCTGACTGGGAATCGAACCTCGATCGCCTGGATCCTAGGTCGACGCTCAACCGCTGAGCCACGCCCGGCCGGGCAGCTTTTATTTTTCATTTCCATTTGCA